TCCAGTGTGGGTTTTAAAAACATCCACTGGAGCAACGTTGAGTTAGAGCAAATACAATTGAGAATGTCTTTCATGGACATTTGATTTCCATCAATGCGTAATCTTACACGAATCCTCGCCATGATGCCTAGGAAGGAGCATGTGGCAGAGGAGTTGCTTAACAAAAAGGTATCTTTCCTTAATGTTAGCCTAACATCCTATTTCAGCTGACTTATGAAGGTCAGCTCCTAAGATAGCCTACCCTCGAGTAGTGGGGGGAAAGGGCCCAAGGCAAAGATCGGCTGGATTTTAAAAAACCACACGGGCTACCAGATGGTCAAAATGCCTTGTGTTAACTCGCCAAAGCGAAGTTGCCGAAAAATAAGAAGATAGGACAGTCAGAAGGATAGCAATGTATGTAGTGTGTTAAGTGTGTGGGCCAGTGTTGGTGTATGGGTGGGGGGAGGATGGGGAAGGATGGGGGGATGGGGATGAGAGGGGTGAACAAGCAAGCAAGTCACCGCCTTACCCTCTTGATGGGATGGGGCTCGAAGTGACTGCAAGCAAGTCTCCTCTCAGCTCTGGTGAAGAACTACTCAGGATAACCCAAGTAAATTCTCGAGCAACAGTGTTCAGAGTTGCTCAGCTGAAGAGCGGGAACGACGACGTCTTCTCTCCACGGTGGCTGGGCTGCTACTCCTTGTATTGTGCCTGTGAAAGATTACCTAACTGAAAAGAAATTAGAACTTAAGTGCCTCCTGGTGTTAGACAATGCCCCTGGTCATCCTACAGACGTGGCAGAGCGACTTTATGGGGACATGAAATTCATTAAGGTGAATTTTTTTGCCTCCTAATACCACTCCTCTCCTGCAGCCCATGGACCAGCAGGTTATTGCAAACTTCAAAAAACTGTACACAAAAGCTCTGTTTGAAAGGTGCTTTATAGTGACCTCAGAAACTCAATTGACTCTAAGAGACTTTTGGAGAGATCACTTTAATATCCTCAATTGTGTAAACCTTATAGGTAAGGCTTGGGAGGGAGTGACTAAGAGGACCTTGAACTCTGCTTGGAAGAAACTGTGGCCAGAATGTGTAGACAAAAGGGATTTTGAAGGGTTTGAGGCTAACCCTGAGAATCCTATGCCAGTTGAGGAATCCATTATGGCACTGGGAAAGTCCTTGGGGTTGGAGGTTAGTGGGGATGATGTGGAAGAGTTGGTGGAGGAGGACAATGAAGAACTAACCACTGATGAGCTGATAGATCAACTTCAACAGCAAGAGGCCAGACCTGAGGAAACTGGTTCGAAGAAGGGGAGAGAGAAATTGAAGAAATTGCCTACTACAAAGTTTAAAGGAAATCTGTGCAATGTGGCTGAAAGTGCAAACCTTTATGGATGAAAATCACCCTCACACAGCTATTGCAAGCCATGCTGGTGACTATTACACTGACAATGTTGTGAAACACTTTAGGGAAGTTATAAAGGAACGAGAGGTACAGGCCACTATGGACAGATATGTTGTGCGACAGAACTCCAGTGACTCTGAAGCTGGTCCTAGTGGCATTAAAAGAAGAAGGGAAGTAATCCCAGAAAAGGACTTGACACCTCAAGTCTTAATGGAAGGGGATTCCCCTTCTAAACACTAACACTCTCTCCTCCTCCCATCCCATCAATCATCACCAGATCTTCAATAAAAGTAAGTGTCATGTAATTGTGCATGCCTTTTTCAGTTTGTGTGTATTAAAATTAATATTTCATGTGGTAAAAATATTTTTTTTTCATACTTTGGGGTGTCTTGCACGGATTAATTTGATTTCCATTATTTCTTATGGGGAAAATTCATTCGCATAACGATAATTTCGCATAACAATGAGCTCTCTTGCGGGGGTCCACTGTACATCTATGTGGTATGTGTGCACCACATAAAACAAATCCTGCAGTACATAGTGCATAATGAGAGAAAAAAACTGAGACTGTAATTTTCGATTAAAACAGCAACTTTGCAGTGTTTTTTGTATATTTTTTTATAGTTGTACTTGCGATTTCTTGGTCTCATTTGATAGAGTGGAAGATATATCGCAGAAATAGAGATGATTTTGATTGGTTTCAGTTCTGGAAATGGCTTGAAACTGAGCTCAAAATAGTGGAAATGTTAAATTTTTGCTGATGTTCAAGAGTAAATAAATGACCTCACATGTCTAATACACGTACATGCCTGCTGGTGGGTCTAATATATGTTCTCAAATGTGGTGATGGTATTTATACAATTATTACAATGTTGCATAACAGTTTGAATAAAAATTATGTGAATAAAAAATCAAAATGGAATTCATTAGTAAAGCCTGAAAACATAATTAATGAACAGAGGAAATGTTAGTTTAGTGCCAGGAATGCCTGCATTGTTTATTCTGGACCCTGTTTTGAAATTGGAGTACATATTTTGAACTTTGCATTAAATTGGCCAAATTACCAAATTCCGATCACTTTATTTTGTAGTTGAAATAGCTGACTTGGTGAATTCTTGTGCTCAATCGAGAGAATAGAAGTAATACTAGTGAAATAGCTAAAAATTTCATCGACTGGAATACTGTAATTGGCCTAAAATGGGAGTCAAATTCGGCAAAATCGCCAATGTGTAAATATCGCTGCCACATCAAAATTCGCCTGAGCATAATTTCGTCAATTTTCCATCAAATTTCGTACTTTTTGTTTTATTACCTTCAGAAAAAGATTCTCTAAACCCTTTCATAAGAAAAAATAACAAAATTATTTTTTGAAAATTCTTGGACACTGGTGCACACTATGAAATTTGGCCTCTGGACCCTGAAAGGGTTAAATCATCCATGATTCCTTGGCAAATTTAACTTAATAGCTACCAGGTAATAATATTGATAACTTGACAATAACCAATGATAAATAATATCCATAAAGTAACTAAGGCCCTCTAAAATAAAAATAAAAATATTTAACACTATTAAAGTTTACAGTGAGATGATATGAAGAACACAGCAAGGCAGGTTCATCTACATTTCAAGAATTAGTCTTGAGTCTTACCTCTTGCCTTTGAGTTCTGGTAGCTCCCCAGCAAGGATGGCAGCCAGAGCTGTGGCTCCAGCACCTTCAACCACTGCCTTCTCGCATTCCACTAAGCGTAAGATGGAAATGGCTATCCATTCTTCTCTTACTGTAACTATCTGTGAAGAGCATCATTGACAGAAGGAGATAAAATCTTTTCATGAATATACACAAAATCAAAATAAATATGATATATAATAAAAAGCAGATTACAACTACACCTAAAATGGTCATGTCTTATTACTTTCTGTAACAAACAGTGTAGTAAAAATAGCCTTGCTAAACTGTAAACACTAAAAAGTAATATAAAATTTCCATAATCTTCTTTTTTCAACCCTTGGCCATATCCCACCTAGGCAGGATGGCCCAAAAAGAAAAACAAATGTTTCTCTTATTAACTTTAGTAATGTATACAGGACAAGGGGGTTACTAGCCCCTTGCTCCCGGTATTTTAGTCACCTTTTACAACATGCATGGCTTATGGAGGAAAAATTCTGTTCCACTTCCCCATGGAGATAGGAAATAAACAAAAACAAGAACTATTAAGAAAATAGAAGAAAACCCAGAGGGGTGTGTATTTTTTTTTTCCAACAAGCCGGCCATCTCCCACCAAGGCAGGGTGACCCAAAATGAAAGAAAATCCCCAAAAAGAAAATACTTTCATCATCATTCAACACTTTCACCTCACTCATACATAATCACTGTCTTTGCAGAGGCACCCAGATACAACAGTTTAGAAGCATATATAAAAATATATAACATATCCCTCCAAACTGCCAATATTCCAAACCCCTCCTTTAAAGTGCAGGCATTGTACTTCCCATTTCCAGTATTCAAGTCCAGCTATATAAAAATAACCGGTTTCCCTTAATCCCTTCACTAAATATTACCCTGCTCACACTCCAACAGATCGTGAGATCCCAAAAATCATTCGTCTCCATTCACTCCTATCTAACACACTCACGCACACTTGCTGGAAGTCCAAGCCTCTCGCCCACAAAACCTCCTTTACCCCCTCCCTCAAACCTTTGGGAGGACAACCCCTACCCCACTTTCCTTCCCTTACAGATTCATACTCTCTCCATGTTATTCTACTTTGATCCATTCTCTCTAAATGACCAAACCACCTCAACAACTGCTGTTCAGCCATTTGACTAATACTTTTATTAACTCCACACCTTCTCCTAATTTCCACACTCCGAATTCTCTGCATAATATTTACACCACACACTGCCCTTAGACAGGACATCTCCACTGCCTCCAACCGCCTCCTTGCTGTGCAAAAGTCCAGTAGTTACAGCATCTCAAAATTGCTAATCAACAGGATATTAACCATTCTGCAAACTGCTGTTACATGATGTCAACAGGTCCCTCTGTAACCATCCGTCTCGCCTCCTTTGTTGCACTACTACTACGACTACCACCTCTACCCACACGACACATCACCTGACTCCTGCCACTATATATATATGCATTTTCTTAGTTCTCTCTGTATTAGGACTGAAGCAGCCACTCGTGGCAAAATGTTTCCTTTAATAAATGTCCTGAACTGTACATAAGTGTCTTTTTCCACACACACACAGAATAAATGCAACCCAAGCAATAAGCTTTAATAATTCTATTTACTCATGTGCAAGTCCCACTCAAATCCAACCCCTATCACTCATGCATTTATCCAACCTAAATTTGAAACTACCCAAGGTTTCAGCTTCGAAAGAACCTTGGGTAGCTTTAAAAAGAAATTGGACAAATATATGAGTGGGAGGGGCTGGGTATGATTGGTGTGGTGGGTACATAATAAGAAAGGAGGAACACTGTAGTAGGCCTGTTGGCCCATACTAGGCAGGTCCTTCACAGATCCAACCCACTAACAGAATAAACGTACCCAAGCAATAAGTGTTGACAATTCTATTTACTCACTCATCTTGACTGTGTGCCAATGGAGTTACAGGAAGCTGACATCGAAGAAATGCTGAACATTGGTGAAATGCTGAACACTGGTGATCTGTACTTAGCTCAGTGGTGACCTGTACTTAGCTTAGTGAGGATGTGTCTAGTGTACTCTCCGTGGACTGAACCAAGATGCCCTCCGTCGAGCAACTTACCAGCAGCTTAAGGAAGAATTGAGGGTAGCGAAGAAAGAGATACGGCGATTGACTGAGGAAAACAAAAGGATTCATAGTAGTCCTCCTGTTGTTAGTCCTCAGGTCAAGAAGGGAACCTGGATAGTGGCTGGACAGCAGGGAACGAAGTTGATGATCAAGAAGATGAATGGAAAGGTGGAAACGATGGAGAAGAAAGAGACTGCTGTGGAAACTGTTGTGGAAACATCTAATGCATTCTCCGTGCTACCTGACGAATGTGAGTCGACTATGGGGAACGTCACGACGAACGACACCAAGGAAGGTAAGAATATTGTTGTTGTTGGGGATAGCCAGGTTAGGTACATGGATAGGGCCTTCTGCTTGAAGGATAGGAGTAGGAAACAGAGGGTTTGCTTTCCTGAGGCTGGGATGGAGGATATTGTTAGCCAGCTTGACAACATCATGAACGGTAATTGGATTAATCCTATTATCTGCCTCAGTGCTGGAGGCAATGATGTAGGCAAGCATAGAAGTGAGGATTTAGTTAGAAGGTTCAGGACAGCAATAGACATAATTAGGAAGAAGGGGGGGCATCCTGCCATATGTGGCATTTTGCCAAGAAGGGGTGTTGGAAATGAATGGTTGTCCAGAGCAATTGGTATTAACTGTTGGCTGGACAAACACTGTAAGGATAATGCAATGACCACTTCTATAGCTGAAATGACATGTATGCCAGGGATGGGGTTCACTTATCCAGGGCAGGTGTGGGTTTTCTTGCTAGCTCAGTTGTTAGGACTTTAAACTAGGATTAGTTAGAGGTATGGGTTTAGAAATGAAAAATAATGAGCATGGATATACTGACTTAGGCTTTGATATTATGAATCTTAATAATAACAGTCAGGGAGTAATGCTGGGTAATGATAATTTCAGAAATTGTGTGAAAGCAAAGGTGAATAGGAAAAATGTGCAAAAGAAAAAACATATGATGGTATTTTATGTTAACAGTCGAAGTGCAAGAAATAAGATTAATGAACTATGTTTGGTAGCATGTGCTGGGAACTTTGATGTTATTGCATTAACTGAAACGTGGTATGATTTAAAGAGTCGGGATATGATTGCTGAGTGTAATATTGATGGCTTTAAGTTGTTTCATGTGGATAGATGTGATGGGAAGGGGGGAGGAGTTGAATTATATGTTCGAGAAAATATTAATTGTTGCATAAAAACAGGTATAAAAATAGATGGAATAGTAACAGAATCTGTTTGGGTGGAGTTTGTAGAAGGTCAAGTGAAACTAATTCTAGGTGTAATATACCGACCTCCAGGCTTGGATCACGATAGAGGGAGACTTCTTTGGGACGAAATTGTTAGGGCTTCTAGACACAATAACGTAGTGATAGTGGGGGATTTTAACTTTAATCAAATTAACTGGAATTCTTTGACCGCTAATCTGGAGTCCAGTGACTTTATGGAAACAGTTCAGAACTGTTTTCTGAAGCAGTGTGTAACAGAGCCTACCAGGGGTAATAATTTGCTCGATCTAGTCTTGTCAAATAAGGAAACCACTCGTAAATAATCTGGAGATCACTGAAGAGCTTGGCGCAAGTGATCATAAATCCATCACTTTTAGCATTAACTAGGAATGCAAGAATAATGATAATACGGTAAAAGTCCCTCATTTTCATTCTGCTGATTATAGTGGACTTAGGGAACACCTGTCTAATCTCGATTGGGGTTATCTAGCTAATGATTTTATTGACGATGATCATGCTTATGATTATGAAGGGATCTGTGTTTATGATTTTTTTCTTAATAATGTACACCGTGCTCAGAGTATGTACATTCCCCAGAGAGAAATTAGGTCTAATAATAATGATCTCAAATGGGTTAACAGGAGAGAAAACAGGGGAGAAAAGGGGAATTTATAGGTGCATCAGAAGAGGAGAGGTTAACCTTACTGACCAATATGCTCAGCCTAAAAGAGAAGTAAAAAATGGGATTAGAAAGGCTAAACATGACTACAAAATTAGAGTTGCTAATGAATCAAAGACCAATCCAAAGGGGTTTTTTCAAGTGTACAGGACAAAGGTGAAGGAAAAAATAGGACCTCTGAAAATTGGGAATGGGCAGCTGACGGATAACGAACTGGAAATGTGTTCCTTATTTAATGACTATTTTTTAGTCAGTTTTTACACAGGAAGACACAAATGAGATTCCAGAAATTAAAAATTTTTCAGTTCCTGATGAATTTAAATTAACAAATATTACTGTCACAAGGGACATGGTTATCAAACAGATAGACAAACTGAAGCAAAATAAGTCCCCAGGGCCCGACGAGTTGTTTTCCAGGGTACTTAAGGAATACAAGATGGAATTTAGTCAGCCATTAACCAGTGTGTTTAATGCGTCCATCCTTACTGGTGTTGTGGAAGATGGCTAATGTGGTTCCTATATTCAAATCAGGGGATAAGTCCATTCCTTAAAATTACTGTCCAATAAGCCTGACATTTATAGTGGGCAAGTTACTAGAATCAATTATAGATTGAAACACTTATGCAACACATGGAAATCTTTATTTAGGAAATGTTTCACCACACAGTGGCTTCATCAGGCCAATACAAAGTAGAAAGGTGTAAGGAGAGGAGGAGTTTGAGGTAATCAGTCTGCTTTGTATTGGACTGATGAAGCCACTGTGTGGCGAAACGTTTCCTAAATAAAGATTCCCATATGTTGCATAAGTGTCTCAATCTTCAACCTGTCGGTTTTCAAAACCATTCATCACAACTGTCAGACACTGCATCATCATGGGATCTTGATACAAAGAATTCTTCAAGCTTGTCCAACCTTTCGACGAAGACCTACTTCGACTAGTGGATGGTACCACTATGACCCCGCCTCCTCCTGCTTCGCCTCACCTGACTACAGTATATAAGCCACGTCTATGGCCCTATGCTGTACATTCTACAAGATTGATGGACTGAACACATCGACTCCAGGCTGAGGGACTGATTACCTCAAACTCCTCCTCTCCTTAC